TGATTGCGTTTACTCTTGTTAAGTGTGTGTAATTTTAACATTGAATAACGGACAAATGAAATCTTATCACTCAAGTACGTCGGACGAGCACACACACTCGTACACTGGCCGAGCACACACACACTCGTGCCACCGGGTCACGTCATACGGGTGTGACGACTAATAAGCTCCAATATAAATGTTAATACCGCACACTCTTGACTTCATATGAGTTCTCGTGTGCTCTTACCCCTTCATAGTGCATCACACTCCGACCTCGTCGGACGAGTCACCCGTTCAAAAGTTTTTACTTGCGGGTTCGAACTACTAACCTCGGGCGGCGAGTTAAACTCTTGTCAGGGGCCTAGAGCCACGCTCTTCCGAGCAATTTTGTCACTTAATTGACATTCACATTTCTCGAAAAGGTTGATATACTTTAGTTCTTTGGGGTTAGATTATCCATTCGAGTGAGGAGTCCGACTCACTTACTCGCGGATTCAATCTTTCTTTCGGAGACTGGGTTGAGGCCTAACTTGGGAACTTGATGTCACTCTTTTTCAAGTAGTGAGTCTGACTCACTTACACACTGAGTTGTGGTTCCACACCAGGCCAGATGCTCTATTCTACACTAGTTTCTTTTATGTGTAGGTACAACCAGAATGAAGTGGGGGACTGAGGGTCTTATCGTCTTCAAGGAAGCAAATGATGAACCTTACGAGTCTGAGCCCGACGAGAAGAACAATTCTAGCCATCCTATTTGCAGATGGCGACCATTGCAATAAAGACTGAGGATCTCACCTCTTACTTCATCTTGGGGGCGTCAGATGTACTCTTTTTCCCTTCATTAGAATTTTTTCTCATCGGGTTTTTTCCTAATGAAGGTTTTTAATGAGGCATCTCCCCAACATGGACAAGGGTGAGGAACTTCTAGTCTCGGAGAAGTGCAACTAACTTGGACTATTCCCTCTCAGCCGAGTCTACTACTCAACTAAAGGAGTGGGGGACTCGTGATGGAGTAATGGGACTTGGCCCGGAGCCTAATCAACCCAAGCCCCGAACTTGGACCCGTGGATCCAAGTCCACAACCTGGAGCCTGCCTGCCAGCCCAGCAGGGAGCCTGCCAGTCCGGCCGACCTCCCAGCCCGGAAGAGTAACAGTCAAACAATTAATGCACTATTAATTATGTATTTAATTCCGTATTAATGTTGTAATTAATTAGTCATTATTATCAGTAGCGGTTACGATTTGTATACGCCTATAAAAGGCGGGTTGTAATTCGGATTATGGGAGACAATTTCTATATGCTATTTCTGGCAACTAAATACTTTTAGCTTCTTTCCTTATTTGCATTATTTTCCAGATTTCCTGCTTGAGTGTCGTATGTAGCTTTCCTAAAAGTCTACGAGCGTCCTATTTTGGACCAACACTTGGTTTCATCGTTTTAGTAGTTTTCTCCTTTCTCATGGTTTTGTATGCATCCGGTCGGATAATTCGCTATTCATTTTTAGACGTAATTCGTCCATTATTTATCTCTTGCTATATGTTGATGATATTATTGTTACTGGCAATTCCCCAAAATTAGTTACTCATTTCTTATCTCTTCTGGCAAAATGTTTTGCCATGAAGAATTTGGGGGATTTGCATTTTTTCCTTGGAATACATGTGTCCAGGACCACTTCTGGTTTATTTCTCTCTCAGCAGAAGTATATATCTCATCTTCTTCTTCGTTTTCACTTTCATACAGTAAAACCTGTTCGCTCTCCTCTACCTAGTCGCACAAAACTTTCTCTTACTGATGGGGAGCTTCTTGCTGATGCCACGGAGTACAGAAGTATGGTAGGTGCACTACAGTATTTAACTTTGACTAGGCCAGGTATTACTTTTGCTGTACACCTCATTTCTAAGTTTATGCATGCGCCTCGTACTTCACATTTGTTGGCTATTAAGCGTATTTTCAGGTATCTCCAGGGCACCTCTACGCATGGGCTCCTCCTACAAGCTTCTCGGGAATGTCGAGAAATTATTGCCTACTCAGATGCTGGCTGGGCTGGTTGCCCGGACACAGGTCGTTCTACTTCTGGTTATGCAATTTTTCTGGGTTCGAATTTGATCTCCTGGCGTTCCAAGAAGCAACCAACTGTTTCCAGATCTTCCACTGAGGCTGAATACAGGGTCGTGGCACTCACTGTTCAAGACACTCTTCATGTTCGTTCGGTCCTGTTTGAGCTTGGTTTTCCCGTTCGCGATCCCACCACGTTGTATTGTCACAATATTTCTGCATCATATCTCTAAGTTAATCCTATTCATCATGCCAGAAGCAAACATATTAATATTGACTATCACTTTGTTCGTGAACGGGTGGCTCATGGTGATTTGCGTGTGCGATATGTTCCTACTAAGGCTCAGCTGACAGATATTTTTACTAAGTGCTTATCTCCGCAACAATTTACTCTTCTTCATGACAATCTGCGCATTGTCCCCCCTGCACAGCTTGAGGGTGGTGTGATAGAGTAGTTTTAATATTATTTATTATTGTGGACTCCTATTGTAATTCTGACTCTTATTATCTATAAATATATCTACCAGGGCTACCAGTATGGTCAAGTCTGGTAATTATTCTCACACGGGTCGCCGCCGCCGCCTCAGAACTGGTCGCCGCAGTAGATCTGACTGTCGTCACCGTGGATCTAGCTAGATTTGGCCGCCCCTACAGATCCGTCCGCCACGGCAAATCCGGCCTCCGTTGCAGATCTAGCCTCCGCCGATGCAGCCCATAGATCTTGCCGCCTCTAATGCCAACATTTTTATCAGAATGCCATCATGAATCGAGAATGCCATCTTAATGACATTTTCAAAGCAAAATACGAAAATTTTGAAGAGTAAGAATGTCATGTTGATGACATTTTCAGTGTGACACCGTCCCCAAACATGTTTACTTTTAGTAAATTATGTGATAAATTTTGAAAGATGATTTATGAATTTACGTAATTGTTAAATTTTATTATTTCTTTTACGTGAATAGTAAATTGCATGTGGGGCCCGCAACGGGAACGGGGACATTTGGCATGCAATGAAGAGTTTTACATTGCATTTAAACTTCACTTTGATATTTAAATTGCATCGAGAGACTACATGCAATGAAGAGTTTTAAATGTTTCAATGCACAGTCACTCCACTTTATTTATTTGTCATTTGGCACACTTTATTTAGACTAAAAACTCTTGCATTGGGATGCTCTTAAACTCTTAGTTTTAGGTTCCTGCAATTTTTTTCCATCATTTTGTAATTTATGTTGTTTTGTTCTGAGACTCTAGCCTATTCTAGCAATCTCCATTTCAAAAGAAATAGACTCTCGCCTATTCTTGTAATTTATGGGCCTGTTTGGTAACGGCTATGAGGGTTGAAATAGGGATGGACTCGATTCGGGCCTAGAACCGGCCGGGCCTCGGTTCAAGGTATGGGAGGCCCGGAACCGGTCCGGGTAAGCCCCGGGTCCGGGTCCGGGCCGGGCCGGGCCGGGCCTCGGTTATATTTTTTTTGGGCTTTTCCTAGTTAACCCCCAACCCTCCCCCTCACCCCCAAATCAACCCTAACCACCTCAAATGGTCCAAAATACCCAGCCCAACCCAAAAACTAAAAAAAATTGAAAAAAAAAATTAAAATTGGTCCGGCTCGGGCCCGAACCGGCCGGGCCGGTTCACCTTTTGAAGGCCCGAGCCCGAACCGAGATCCCACCGGGCCGGGTGGCCCGAACCGGCCAACCAACCGGTTCACCGGGCCGGTCCGGGCCCGCACAATAGCGGGCCGGTCCAATTCCGGGCCGGTTGGCCCGACCCGAGTCCACCCCTAGACTGAAATGGCTGAAAAGTCTAAAAAGGCTGAATCTGTTGAATTGAAAGTGTTTGATAATATATCGGCTGAAATGGCTGATTCAATGTAGAATTACCATAAGGGTATTTTCAAAAAATTGAGTTTGCTGTAAACCCATCCAATAAGCCTTCACTTGTTGTCAACCCCTTCTCCATTATGCCAAGTCTTTCATTTCGCACCATTCAAATTCCCCAACAAATTAAGATCATTAAACTGCACTTTTCCATAGCTCTTGCAAAAAATCCTCCACCCAATGTAGAATTGAGGTTGCACCAGAGCCAATAGGCTCCCAACGTAATTGTTGTCAAAACTCCAACAAACAATTTGTAAAGGAACACCTAACAAACAAGTGTAGGGCCGATTCTGCCGCCCACCCAACAACTAATGAACAACCTAGGCGAGGAACACCATGGTCATGTAGAGAACCCGTTGATTTGGTGTCAGGAAGGAGGAGTCGATCAGTATATAAAAGTGGGCAAAGGAGTCATTACGAAAAGCAACAGTGAATTAATATGTTTCAGCCGAAAAAGTGACTCTCTCGTTACTTTTTTGGCTGATAAGGAATATCAGCTCAAACAGCCCATTTAGACTATGTTTGGTGATTTTTTCACACTTTCAGGCTTATAAGCCTATTTTTGGGCCTCCAAACGGCCACTATGGAGTATGTTCTTTTCCTTTCTTTTTCACGTCCTTAAAATGCTAAAAGAATAAGAAAACCTCTATTTGAGAAACGTGTATATGATTAATTTCATTTTGTTTTAACTACTCCTTTATTGGCCTGCAAAATGTTATAAAAAGTTGAAGTTGAACTTCAAAATGGAGTTATACACTTGAATACTTGATATTAACACTTTTCTAAATGGACATTGCTAGTCACGGAACGATTAGAAAGAACTAACATAGATAGATTACGTGCACGAAACAAACAAAATTGCAAGGGATCTAAACGAAGTGTCAAACTCTGCTTTCAAAAAACAGCAATTTCTAAAGTCAGACCAAAACGTAGAAACACAATTTTGCATTTCATATTCTAGATTTGACCGAGGCACATCATTTAAGAAACTGCTCCAAAAATCTTTGTATTTAAAATTATTTACAAAAGAATGAAATCAATTTGAACCACAAAACTTTAAATAAAAATGGTAAAGGAAGATAAAAAAAGGAACGAGGGAGCAGCATTATTTTCTTATTTGCCTGGCTAATGAGATAAATCGAGACAATGCAAAACACTTTATTACAAATTAATCATTTTAATACATTCCAAACATTTCATAACATCTCAGTTTAACACTAACTTACATGGATACAAAAATTTGGTAAAGTATACCAGTACATATTTTCATATTCATTTTATTTTATAATGCATACAGAAATGAAAGCCAAGGGAGTGGTAACCTTGATTCCCATTCAAGCTTCTAATTTTCAAAGCCATTCACAGTGAAACCACCATCTACAGCAATAACCTGGCCGGTTACATAAGAAGCAGAAGGAAGACAAAGGAAAGCAACCACTGATGAAACATCTTCGGGTTCCCCTACCCGCCTGAGAGGGGTTCGGGATATTACTCTTTCCAGAAACTCTTTGTCGGAAGTAAACTGCAAAACAAAGTTATTGACACAGGAATCATTTCATTGGATATAAATTGAATAAAGAATAGTAACAAGCATGTGACTATGTGAGTAATTAGCATTAAAAAAAGCTGATAATGTAACTTGCAGAGGGGTATACACAATTACACATTGATGCAAATTCTAAACATTGAAAATATTTGACATTGATTTTGTTGTACGTAAAAGTGAATCAATCTAAAGTGAGGTGATTCTTTAACAAATATAATCTCAGAACCATATGGCAAGCTCCTGATGAAATTAAAAACTGGTTCTCTTTCCCCTTGATTTATGGATAGTTTCATCTTCCCAGGCTTGGCCAAATGATCAACTTACAAATCATCCTGGTTATTGCCGAAAATTACAAATCAATCCATTTATCATTCGGATTTTTCGCACAAGACACAAAGATGATAGGATATTAGGATACAATGTTGTGTACCTCTTTGACAAGAGAGGTTTTAATATACCAAGGTGCCACAGAATTAACCCTAATGGCGTCCTTTGCCCATTCACACGCCAAATTTTTTGTAAGTTGGTTCATAGCCCCTGTAAGTGCATATTCAATACAAAAAAGCACGTTTAGTAATCTGACTTGTAATCAAAATTGCTTGGTTTTAAAGAGGTTGCCAAATGTAAGTAAAAAAATAAGTTTAACATGAATACATGATAAACTTAGGTAAGCTATCAAAAAAGTGTCAAAACTATAACTATAATACTTATAGCAGTTGTACTTACCAAAATTAAAAAGTTATATCTTGGTAAAAACAAGACTCTTTCTATGGAGCAGGGGGGATAGGTTATTGATTCCATTCAAACAAGGTGCCTGTTTGCAGGGGCATAGCTAGGGGTGGCCAACCCTGGTCCTGTCCCAACCCAAATTTTAAAAATGTCTTAATTTTGTGTAAAAAAATTCCATGTAAATTTGTTCCCAAAAATATTCTTTGTATCGTCCCAGTCCGACCCAGTGTCCTGGCTCCGCCCCTGCCTGTTTGGTATGTTTTATTTGACTGAAATGGCTGGATTTGGTAAATTTTCTAACAGGAAAAGCGCTTGATCACATTCATTTCAGCCAAACAAGTCAAAAGCTATTAACTCTGTTTATTCTAATAATTTTTCTGAATATTGAAATAAGGAGAATGAGCCAGACCAGGCTACCAAACGGAGTGTCGGGGCCCTAAGTAAGTCAAATGTTACTTATTATGATAAACCAAATGATACATTCAACGCTACAAAACGGGACCTTAAATATATATGCTAATGTACCGAAATTTTATTTATTGTGATTAATAAAGCTCACCTTTGGTAGCGCTATAGATAGATCCAGCAAATGATACATGTACCAAGCCAGCAACAGAGGAAACAAAGACAATGGATCCAGCTCCAGATGCCTTTAGAAGAGGATAAGCAAGTTGAGCAAAATGGTAAGAAGACTCTAAGTTGGTAGCCATGAGATGAGAGTATTCTTCAGCCGTAAACTCATTGGTAGTCTTCATGATGTGTGTCCCAACATTGTTAACCTGCCCCATATTAATAAAGATCCCAGGCATGAGGTGGAGGGAAATGTGTCTCATGTATGTCAGTTTAATCAGACCTCAAGTTAGTTAATTGATTGTCTCAAGTATCCTACAAATGCATAAACCAGAGTGTGTTAAAAGTATCTCATCTTGGATCACATAGGAATTTAATTCCCAAAACATTTGCCGAAATATTTTGAGCCCGAGTCTCATAATCCAACTCTTAGGTAAGAACGCTGAAGAATACATTTTTTGTCATGGTTGAAGTCCAAACTTTGTCATTTAAAAAGATTAGAAGCTCCCCCAAGGATGTTCTTACTTGAATTTATTGCAGTACCAGATCAGACCAGACTTCGACAACTATAAATTACAACGAGACTAGACATCTACCAAACCAGATCATACCAGAAAATTTTGGTACAAGTAAAAACATCCTGATACTTTGTAAGAGTTTGCAAGATATGGGGCAAAATTTAACAAATCGTGCGATGTGTTACCAACTTACCACGTGATCCAAGATAAGAGGTCGTGGTGTTCTGATATTATTTTTCAAATATGTGGGATGAGTACTATGCAAATAATTATTATATGAAATATGAACTATATTTGTTTTACTCAGTATTTGATCATCTAAAAAAAGTCAACAATTTCTATATACTTCATAATAACTTATGAACTATATTTATCCCTGTTGACGAACAAGGTTTATATGAAAAATATTCATAAATAGATCCCTGTATTCTTTTTATTTGCTTTCTCTCACGTTTCATATCATGTAGTTTCAAAAGAGTATCACCTATTCCACATTATGCTTTTAAAATTCGGGAACACTTATTACTCCATAGACATCGCAACTAAAATGATAGCAGTCCAGTGGAATACTCACCAGAATATTGAGCTTGCCGTCGAAGGCAGAGGAAACATTCTGGAAGAGAAGCAGGCGCTGATCTTTTGACGACGCATCGCAGACAGAGCCTGAGACTTTGAGGCCTTTAGAAGCCCAATCTTCCAGGCTCTGCTTCAGCTCTTCTTCCTTTCTGGAACATGTGTATACACTGGCGCCCAATTCAGCCAGTTCCTCCACGATTGCGCGCCTAGTCGAAGAAAAATCAAACTTTACACAGAAGGATTTGTTTGGTAATTGATTTTGCCAAGCCTAGAAACGGTTTCCGAAAATTGTTATTAAATAAAACAGTAACAGAAAAGGCTACAAGGTACCCGATTCCACGAGTGCCTCCGGTGACAAGAGCGGTCATCCCAGAAAGAGACCATCTTGAACGACTGCTGCTCCGCTCTTCAGCATTCGCCATTAGAGAAAAGAATGCTGCTCTTATATCACACAAAAAGCTTATGAGCGACGAAGACCACTTCCTGTGCTTCTGTAAAACCGGAGTTGGTTGGTTGCTCGAACCTTTTGACTTCAAAAGAGTATGCAACTGCAACTGGCCCCCAATCTCTGGCAACTGCAATACTGAATCATTATTATTAGCAACTACTCCGATGTAGATGTTTTTACTTGTGGTTTTAAAAGGATTCACACCACATCACACCAATTTGAACGGACAATACCATATTTGACTCCCCTCATTACTGCTTCCGGTCTCAAATGAAATTCACACTTTGATTTCCATAAATTAAGGAAATAAATTTGATTTTACTGTAGCGTACACTGTTGTAACACTGTTTGACACTATTTGACACTGTTTTGATGTAGATAATTTGTCTAATAAGGAAGAGAGAAGAAGTGTGAAGTTTATTTTGGAACTACCGAAAAAGGAAAGTGTGAATTTCATTTGGAACCGGAGGGAGTATAAAATACACAGAGACCAGATATTTAACAGGCCAGTTCAGACCAGACCAAGTCACACCAGACTTAAACAGACTACACCGAACCATCAAATTATAGTCCAAGTAAAAATACCTCTTACTTGTATAAACAATTCGGTTACCCACATTTTTATACTCATTCTTATATCGTTATAGTCGTTTTAGTGAACAATTTCGCATCTCATTCACGGACAAAATTGTTCACAAACAAAAACGTGTTTGTTCTATTTATTAACGGAATTCACAAGCAAATGATAATATTTCACGAGGGTGTCTATAAGGACGAGAATAAAGTGTCTAGATAGCAAAGTTGCATTTGAAAATAAGTACTTTCACTTTATTAACTTTATCAATCATTGTTTATACTAAACGTGTAATTATTTTTTTCCTTCACTGAATTGTATAATAATAAAAATAAGTAAGGTTGAAGATTTATAATTATTTTCTAGTTTTCTGGTTAAGCCGATCGAACTTGTTGTACAGAATTATTTCAATAGGGAGAGTTCAAATAAAAAGAGGTGTTTCCGTGTAAAGTGCGAACAATTGCATTTTCCCTCATTGCATTGCACTATTGCATGTTTCCGTTACACTTTTTCGCGATCACAAAAAACTTCGGTTTATTTATGAAATTGCCACCACGTATTTTATCAAATTTAGTGCATTGTTAGCTCATTTTGAGTCATTGGATATGTAAATGAATGCACAAGATTTACTCTAAAAATATTAAAGTTTTTGACCTGAAAATAATAGGTTTTTTTTATTGAAAAACTCTAAAAATATTAAAGTTTTAAGAAATGTAGATAAAACTTGTGGAAAGTTTTAGAATGTCAAAGTCAAAAACTTTGATTTTTGAAATTATTTTCGGATTCTACATCTTTTTTACCCGATTGGAATCATGTATTTACTGAGATGATTTCAATTTCGGGCTTTAACCAGATCAACCTAAACCGGACCAAACTCGGCCTACCAAAAACCCGACTCGTATTGAATATAATGGGATTTGTTCCGGTCCTTAATTTTCATAACCCAAGATCTTACATGTAATTTTCGGGTTTAGCAAAACCCGAGCTAGGCCCAAAATTTTTTTTATTGTTCGTGACTTTATTTCAATTAATGTTTATGAAGTCTTGCTTCATATTTAACCTTACACGTCATTAATAGACTTTTAACCATTTAATAGTAAAAATGTTGTCTAGTGTATACTGATAAACCAATGAGTTTATCTCACATTTTTGTATAATATATGTATGGTTTGTGTATCCTCAAAAGAACTAACCCACCTCACGGTATTTTGTTTTTTCAACTACATAGGAAACTTTCATTAATCTTGGAATATGAGAATGCTTCCATTTTCAAGTTAAAATAATATCTAATTTTATTTTTGAGAGAATATTGGATTGCAAATTATACAATAATAATTCTATTTTAGATAGGGAAAGACAAATTAAGTGTCAAATTATCCTTACTTTTACACTATGTAGCACCGATACCGGTACGCGGAATCGCGGAAACGCGGACACGGGTACGAGAATACGGCAAAACAAAAAAAAGTAGGATACGGATACGGGTACGAGGATACGGCAAAACATAAATAAATGGAGATTTAGCTCCTCATTTGGAGACTAAACAATGCTAGAAAAATATATAGAAATTAATATTCTAAATAGAGCTTAAGTGTATGAAAGAAGGAATATTTAATATGAACGGAAAGGGTGTTATTTATAGGTGTTTTGAAGGTGTTGCGTCGAATACCCGACCGGGTATTTGAGATGTCCGACCGGGTATTTGAGATGCCCGACCGGGAAGGATGTCTCGCCGGAAACTCAGGTTATGTCGGTGGGTTTTTGTGCGCAGAGTCAAGGTGGAACTGAGATGAATAGCTTAGGTCAGCGACCACCACCAACAACTCACGGCGGTCCTGTTTGCAGGCCGGACTTCAGAGCTCAGATTCCTTCTCCCTCACCGCAGGACCCACTTCCAGTAATAATGTTGAAAGCCTGAGTGGCGAGGAGACGCACGGGCTTGGCATTGCTCGAAACATCACATGGGCTGAAATTGTTAGGTGTGAATCGGACAGAAAAAAAGACAAAGCCAGCACCTCAATTGGAACTTTCCTACCATCCGCACAAAATGTTGAAAACCAAAATCGGCCGCTCCTCAACCCATGTCAGTTGCTACTGCTAAGGATTATGAGAAATTCAATTTTTTTGGAGAAGAGGATTTTGACTCCATCAAAATTGAATCTAAAATATTCAGATTTGCGACCCGAAACAACGAAATTGTCATTTTTGAAATTAAAAAATCCTCACTAAAAAGGATTAATTTCAAAACAGTGATGGCACCCGGGATCTTCCAATTTATTCAACAACTTTCATGCTCAAATAAATTTAATCTTGTCCAGACCGGAAAATTTGGGAATATCACGGTTATGTCGCTGCTCAACAATTCAGGTTGTTATGTGAAGATTGCTAATGACAAGGGGAGCTCAATTCTAATTCCCAGGGGCACACAATTCAAACCTCAAAGATTTTTTGACATTATTTTCAAAAATTGTTGGATTGTCTTATTTAGAGCAGGAGGACCATATGCACTGGGAGCATGAAAATTCGTCTGATAATGAGGATATAACCATTTCAAAACTCATATTTAACTATGAGATTCAGAGAGCCTTCGGCGAGAAGCAACAACTCATCCCCCTTGAGAAATAACAATTTCCACTTCTTCGAGCATACTCTGACGCCTCAGACAGCTTTGATTATTCCGATGAATCTTTCTTTTCAGACGATTTGCTGGGTCATGCAACTGAAAGCGATCGACGCCCTCCTTTATCAAACCAGGAAGAAATTGGGAATTCCAAATTCAACATAACGATTTGCCGCAAAGCAAAATTTGTCACCTCAGAAAATTATCTGCCAACAGACAACCTGAACACTCAACTTAAACTTTACAGGAAACCTCAACAAAACAAGAGGCGACGTAGCATGCGGACTAGATCACAGTCTAGAGATTTCCCTTGGGTCTAGTTTTAGTTTCTTTATATTCTCTTTTACTCTCTGTATCTTTCATTTTATTTCTCTTCTTGCACTATACCTTTATTTTTATGAATAAAATCGATCTTTTTCAAAAAAAAAAAAAAAGATGCCCGACCAGGTATTTGTCAAATCATATCTTTTTCAGACGTCTTTGTGTTCTTCAGCACGTCCTTTAGCGCGAAGTCACTTCTTACCCGATCGGGTAAATGGAATACCCGACCGGGTATTTCATATAACTTCCCAGAAGCTTCGTTTTCACCTCATACCCGACCAGGTAAATGTCATACCCGGTCGGGTTTTGCACTAAAATCAAGATTTCACATCCCTGTTGCCTTCCAAGCTTCCCTATTCTCAAACCCAACTAACTACTTCTTACAACAAAAAAATAAAGAAAAAATTCCACTTTTGGTCCCATGACTATTATACCACTTCCACATTTAGTCCCTTACTTTCAGATTGTCCACATTTAGTCCGTGACCATTATCCCATCACCACCCCTCGTCCTTCTGGCCAAAATTCTGGCAAATTTAGTCCACTTATCAACCTCAGAATCAGTCTTTGCATTACATTTTATATAAGGTTGGGTTTTTCATATCAGTCTTTGCATTAAATTTGTTTTTTCATACCTAAAATCTGCATTAAATTTGCCGGAATTTTGGCCGGAAGGACGAGGGGTGGTTAGGGGATAATGTTCACGGACTAAATGTGGATAATCTGAAAGTAAGGGACTAAATGTGGAAGTGGTATAATAGTCACGGGACCAAAAGTGGATTTTTTTCAAAATTAAATGCTAGAAATACAATTAAAATCAAATGAAGACTAACGACTACAAACTTGCACAATAATAGTTGTTGAAGGTAAGTCCCGTAGATCCGAAAGCCCAACACGAACTTTGGATATATCAGGAATGGTACAGAATCAAAGTGTATAACCAAATATAAAATATGAACTCACTAATACTCAAAAGCCCACTCGTATTAATTAACCTATCTGATTACAAGGAATTTCCCGATCGGTAGGTCGGGATAATGCTTTAATACAAGAAATAAGAGCAATAATGCTATTCTAGAGCCTGAGTATTGAAATGCTAACCCTTACAATGATTGTAAACCTTCTATTTATACTAATGGAGAGCATGGGCTGCTCTATGCTGATTGTCTGTTGTTCCACCGACTTGGTCACCCATGTTTCCACTTGCTGATGTCACAATCTGGCATTAATTGCACCTAGCCACTTGCTGGTTGTCCGTTGCTCGAACGGGATGTTGGACCATGCTGAAGACGCTTGTCAAATTGGCCCAAGTATGATATATAGTCCGAACCCCGGTCGGTATATCTTCTTTCTGGGCCGGCCCTTACTTGGGCCGAACCTCGTTCGGCATGAATTCTTCACTGGATCTACTCATCATAGAGTGATGGGCTTGTTGTTTGGGCTGGGTATCTTGGGCCTTCTTGATCCGGGTATTGGGCCTCTGGATCAATATCCCAACACAAGTCCCCCACTTCCGATGTCTCGAATGACAGTGAGTGCATTAGGAAGAATGAACACCAATGTTGCAAATTGCCCAATGGCGATCGGGGCACATAAGTAGTCAGTTCCCCATGCTGTGATTTGACGGCTGTCGTTTCATTTCCCCATATTCATCATGATAACCGTCGTTTAGTCTTTTCATTAGACACGCGTTCAGCTTAAATTCTCCTAGTGACGTGTCGCTCCCTGATTGGTTCTTGACACGGCGGTTCAAAGGCTATAAATTAGCCTTTAACTTCTCAAATCCGGGTTTCGATTCTGCAATTTTCTTCGCCTTGCTGTTTTCTGAAATTTCTTCCAGCTTTCGTCGCTCAGGTACTCTCCCTCCCTTGCTTTCTCGCCTCATCCCTGACTCGGTCGAGATGAATTCCCAACGGTGTGCTGATTCGGAAATGGCTTCTCAAGGGGAGGACCGTGATGTGGAGATTATCACCGTCCCTTTTGATGAAGGTTCCAAGGCAGCGACGGCGGAGGTTAGGGCGGAGACGGGTGACTCCTCCGACAGCTCTTCTTCCTCCAGTGAAGATTCCGACGATACCAAGTCCGAGGATGAATTAATTTCCATGGCGGCCGGACGTCCCAACGATTTCCCCCGCCATACCCTTGACCTAAAACTGATTAGGGAGAGGCGGCAAAAACTGACCTCCCACAATAGGGCCAAAATTCCGGCCCTTATCCCAGACCCAGTGAATTTCCGACTGCAAGCTGGACTTCACCCAATGCGTCATAGGCCCGGGATGGTTGTAGTTCATTTTGACTCAATTAGGGCTGGGCTTAGGTTTCCGGTACATTCTTTTTTCATTTCATTTTTTAATTTCTATGAAATTGTACCGGCCCAAATAATGCCGAATTCCTATCGGGCAATGGCGGGTTTTATTTGTCGTTGTAAAGATGCCGGTGCCCGACCAACCTTAGATCTCTTCCATCAATTTTTTAAGGTATCCCCTCAACAAACCCACGGCTATCTGGCCACTAGTGCCCGAACGGGACATATTCTGTTCAAGGGCAATCCAACTTCAATCAAGGGGTGGAAAGATCGGTTTTTCTTCGTGACTGTCCCGGACGGCCTAGTTCCCCGCAAATGGAATGCATTCCCCCGCAAAACGCCTGATCCAGTCCTTACTGAAGAAATTTACAAGGACGTGCTTGTTGTGGAGAAAGATAAATGCATGGATATCATGAATTATCTAACTCCCGATCGGCTAGTTGAAGTCGGGATAGGTACTGCACGTTCTCTTGGGTTTACTTGTTTTGAGAAATCAAGTGCCATGGTCCGGGCGGTCCTTCCCGTGCGAGAAACGTTCTCTTTTTCTTTTTTCTAGTTTCTCACACGCTAAGGCCGCTCGGTACTAACATTTTCCTTTGTCATTTTTCAGCACCAAATCCAGACCTACCCATGGATAATAGCAGAGCTCTGGCAGCTGGTGGGTTTGGTAAATGGAAAAAGGCCAGGAAGAACCCCCAACCTATTCCCTCTACTGTTACTACTCAGGATGTTGGGTCTTCTCAACCAGTTCCAGAGCCACAACCAATACAACAGGTCCATCAGGACCAATTCGATGCCATGCTGGTCGATGATCGGTTTGGTTCTGATCAAATGCAACAATTTCCCGAGCACTTCCAAGCTGCTCAAGAAACCGGTCAGGGTGCGGGTGATATACCCACCGTCCAGCTGTCTGGCCAGGTTGACCGGATCTCACTGGCAGATCCGGTTCATGATGTTGTAGAAAGAGGTGGCTGCTCAACAAGCCAGATTTGGTCTACCTCTGCCTTCTTCAACAATTTCACCGTCCCCAAGCTGTCGGTCGAGCAATCTGAGGAATGCTTGGCCTTAGCAGCTCTGAAGGTACCTTACCATTTCATAGTTTAAATTTCTCATAGTTTAAAATTTTCTTTCACACCATCTCATTTCCCGAACGACATTTTGCAGGTTGGGTTTTACAGTTTGCAGCTGAAGGAAGCTCGACTGGCTAAGGAGCGGGAGCTGATCGTTGCTCAGACTTCTGCGGAGCAGAATGCAGCTGCTGCTTTTGCTGCTCTGGAGGCCGAGCGAAAGGCCTATGCAGAGGAGAAGAAGCGTCTTGAATCGGAGCTTGGTGAGCTCCGGGTTCAGCTCTGGGTCTCTCAATCCAAGGTTCATGCTGCCGAAGCTGCCTTGGTTAAGTTTGAAGAGCATGCCCCTCGTATCCCGGACGGCCCTGCTGAAGTAAAGGTTGATTTATCTGCCGTCCGGGAGTCATTCAAAGGGTCTGAGGAGTTTGCTATCTTGAAAAAAGATTATGCGCAACAGCAACTCCCAGTCACCTTTGGTGATTATCTTGAGCGTTTCTCCACGGGTGACGCCCGTCGGAGCGAGGGGGTCAAACTACTCGACCAGGACCCAAGGGGGAAAAAGTTCAATGATTCCCTGGCCCGATCCTTGTACGTCATGGGCTGCCAGCACATCATGGCCCCCTTCGTCACCAAACTCCAAGAATTACTAGGGAGGCCGATCGAGCTGGCTGATCTTCCCCAAGCGCCCATAGTTGAAGCCCAATACGAGAAGTATCAACGGGACTTGCAACGGGCTGCTGACCGTGAAGCGGGGAAGGAGCCTGATCCCCCCACTGACTCAGATGAGGAGGATGGTGATGAAGAAGACAATAGGGCAGAACAGTAGATTAGAATCTAATAATTTTAGCAACTGTAATCCCTTCCCCCTTTTTCCTCTTTCCTTGCAAACCTTATCTGTATTTCCCGGCCAATAGAGCCAATGAATATATATCTATTTTTTGCATAAAGCTCTACATACTGTCTTTCTTGCCTTTATCGAATGATTTACTCGCCATTCGGGATTCGGTCCATTTTGTAGGACTTAACGGTTTTCTGACTATTTTTTACTCAACACTCCTAACACCGTATGCTTGCCGCTCAGGCAGTAGATAGTTCTGACAATTTATCAGAGACTAGCCCCCTGCTTTTGTGTTGATAGCCGTTCGGGCTTCTGTTCATTTTTTAGGACTTGGCTGATTTTTATGGCCTCAGACGTTTCCTTCAGTTTTACCGCATTCGGCTTCCTTCGTATGTTGATAGCCGTTCGGGCGTCTGATCGCTTTTTAGGACTTAGCAGTTTTTCTGGCTTCAGATGTTTCTGATAATCCACCGCATTTGGCTTCCTTCGTGTGTCGATAGCCGTTCGGGCGTCTGATCGCTTTTTAGGACTTAGCAGTTTTTCTGGCTTCAGATGTTTCTCATAATCCACCGCATTTGGCTTCCTTCGTATGTCGATAGCCGTTCGGGCTTCTGATCATTTTTTGCAGTTTTTCTAACCAGCAACTCTCTGTGATCTTTGCTAATTCTCTATGAGCCCGTTCGTCAGTCGGCTCCTTTGAAACATCTTAGTTATTTGGCTCGCTGTACGGTATTCGGCGATCTGAGTAGTATTTATCTGTTCTTATGGATCTTGTTGCTTTCCTTCGTGTGACAAGATCTGCCTCAAAACATAAGTGCCCGTTCGACAGTCGCTTGCCTGGTTGATCAG